TATGCTGAATTGAAGGCCTAATTTTGCCGGTAGATTCCTGTGTACTTATGTTATAGCCCTGCATAAATCTCGCTGGCTAATTCAAGATAAAGATCAAGAGACTAAAATTTTGCAACCTGTCTACCAACAACCTGAATTCCATCAGTTCGAGGGGCAGGTGAAGCCTTTAGGCTCCCAATAAGCTCACATTTTTGTTGGAGATTTATTGAGAAGATTTATGGCAGTTTATGATAGTGATTGCACGTACATGCTGTAGGTGTCTCTCGCCTTAAGTGTAGAGATTCATCCTTGGCAGATTGATTGACTGATAGTTATGAAAGAAAGTCGCCACTAAGAAAGAGTAGTAACATCAAGTTTAATTGCGAACAAAGTTTGTCTTGTCCTCACAAAAGGTGTGAACTTAGATTTGTTTAACTTGCCAGTAAAGTCATACCTACCCTGCCAGCCAACGGCGCCAGGTCTGTGTGTGGCCTGGCGATAACGTATTCTCATTTGGATACCCTTGTCCCGGGATCGAGTCTTGTTTAGGCGGTTGATAAGGTCCAGATAAGGTCAACTTCAGAGCTTACCATCAACCAGAGAGACTTTGTGCCTAGGCGCCAAGGGGAGCAAAGACAGTCTCGAAAAGTAGTTATAGCGAAAAGTGTTCTGAATTCTTAATAGATCATCGTCACTTGCTTGACTCAAACAACCACTTTACTATTTCATTGAGGCCCTCCTTTTTCATAACCAGTTTTCACAGCTTATGTAAACTGTATATATGAAGACCAAGATGTTGTTGCCTCTGTTATGGCCGCAGTCTGCTTTCGATTTATAGAAGTGGGTTGACCTCTTTGTCGCAAGTTGGTCTTGGTTTGACTGAATGAAATTCTATGGAAACGTGAGTCCCACTCATCTGCTTGTGGGAACTTTGATAGAAAACAAATGCATGTTGGCCTCTTGCACACACCCATTAACAATAGGATTCGAGGCAAGTCCCGTTAACTTCGAAAGTTATATTTAACGTGTGGACGAGCTGTAGTCTAACTTGGATGAGAAAAATCGCTTTAGGCCTTAAATCAGCATAAGAGACTTAGGACGAATAAGTTCCCACATATTACTAATATGTTACTGAGATTAAGAGGACAAGTCTATTTGTTGTTCATTCATGTTTGTGCCACCGTCCTCCTGCCAGTCCACACACAGCGGATATACGCAGTGTTACTTAGGAAACGGACCAATCTGAAAACCGAGATCTTTCACGGTTTTCCTAAAATATGTTTAATGCTTGCAATTCGAGTTTCGTGGTGCTTCAAGAAGTGAGATATTGAGATTGTCCCCCACGATTTCTACACTCCGTAGGATAGCTGTATTAAATCACGTTTAATTTCCTTTTTTAGTTGTTTCCCTTCTGCTGTTTCTGCCTTGAATTTGTATGTAATTTCTGTATTTTACAACGCGCCTTATAAGACTTGAGTTATAAGTTCCCACATATTACTAATATGTTAATTTGAGTAGGAGGACAAGTCTATTTGCTGTTGATTCATGTTTGTGCCACCGTCCTCCTGCCAGTACACACACAGCGGACATATGCAGTGTTACTCAGAGAACGGACTGATCTCAAATTCAAGATCTTTCACGGTTTTCCGAAGATATGTTTAATGCTTGCAATTCGAGTTTCGTGGTGCTTCAAGAAGTGAGATATTGAGATTGTACCCCACGATTTCTACACTCCATAGGATAGCTGTATTAAATCACGTTTAATTTTCTTTTCATTTGTTTCCCTTCTGCTGTTTCTGCCTTGAATTTGTATGTAATTTCTGTATTTTTCAACGCGCCTTACAAGACTTGCACTCTGCCGCTTTGCATTGTCGAGGTATGCACCAGCCTACAACTTTATATTCCTCTTCTTATGCTAAAATTGCGTTTCGTCTCATGTGGGCTCCCACTTTCGCCTCCTATTGCTTCCGTACCTTTGCATTTTTAACGCCTCCGTTCTCCTGCCTCCTTTAGTCCATTTTTCATCAGCCGGCTGATATTTTTTAATGAGCCTATGTTTAGGTGAATTTTTCACACCAAATCCATCTCTTCCCTACAATTAATTCCCACTCCATTTTACGCTTCCCACTTCATTTTTATCCTTATTATTAATGCAGATCAGCTGGCCAACTTGAAAACTGCCGCTCCTCAGCCACCTTGCAATCAAGTCTATTCCGACTCCCAATGGCTGCCCAGCGTGAACTTCTATCAAGTATTGGCCAACAACTGTGCCGAATCCCCGGGACCTGAATCCAACCAGCAGAACTCGACCGTCCAGGCTATGACTTGCCCAGAGCCCAGTTGGCCCGACCGTCCGGCCGCAGGGTTCGGGGTACCGGGAAAACGAAGTTGCCTAAAAATTGCCGTTTTGGGCACAAACGAGAGTACAGAAATGTCCGCTGCCACTTCACCTCTCACGAGTACAACTGCCGGCGTGGGAGAACGCGGCAAGAACAATCTTTCGCTAGTCAGAAGTCCCGCCATACCAGAGAGTCTTTCCACGTCGGACAAGAAGACGGCCTGCCGTGTCGGCAGCTTCTCGCCACTTGGCGCCGGAGGGGAATACCAGACGTTGCAGGCAGTTTGCGGTGAATCGCAAGCGGTTGACGATCTGTTCTGCGGTTACAACACTTTGCTGCCGAACAACAGACCGGGCCTGCAGACGAATCGACAGCAAAATACATACCGACGACAAATGCCAGCGAAAGAGGCTAAACCGGCCACGTCTATGGCCTCGCGACAGCCAACCTACCCACCTGGATCCGAGCAAAAAAGCAGTCCAGTCAAGCTCGCCAACGCACTTGGCGGATTTAGTTTTGTTTAGTTGAACCATTTTTTTATTGCCATCATAGCCATTTCGTTGAGAACCATTTGTTGCTTTACAATGGACTCATTGAGAAGATGCCGTTGCAACCCCGTAAAACGCATGTCCGCTTATGCATTTGTCTTGCCGTAATAAACATAAAGGAGATCTGGACGATCTAACTCCATTTCTGTCTACGCTTTCACTATCTAGTCGTATTGGTGAAAAACGGTATAAGATCGTAAAGCATGCAGAAGTAGTACCACCTCAATTTAGTTAAACTTTGAGACTTTAAGATGTGTAGATTGTAATAAATAGCTTCCACCCCTATATGCGCTGGGCCGAGAAAGGATGACTCTATAAAGCTGTATATGAATTAATTCAATACAGACTCAAAAAGAGATCATATATGCGATTTTTTCGACAATATGCAAATTGTAAGCACTGCATCACTATCGCATGACCTTTAATAACTTTTGTGCTATTTCTGAAGCAGTCAACATTAAATTCAATAACAAAATACTCTTATATCATGCTACTATAAGTAGTGTGAGTATATTTAGGTAAATAGTTTGGAAAATCACTAAAAATCGGTCCTTATTAGCGGTCTTTGCTACATTCCCATGTACAGTCTTGTATATTGTTCACATTATTTACTTATATCTTCAGCACTAATTCGGATCGACCAAAGCTTTGCAATTTATTTTGTCGAATTTCGCATCATAAGAGGAATATTCATCTTAAATAAAATAAATATCGCTTATAAATGTGCTATTCTGCTATATGACGAAAAGCTGGGCTTCGAGAAATTCTTTTCAAGTTCATTGTGCATTTCATTCCAAGTTGAGAATTTGGTTAAAGGGCTCTTTAAGCTAGAGTAAGATTTTATTGTAATTTTTACTTTTGATTTGAGCTTAGAAGTCCTCGGCATTCCATGAATCCAAGCGCATCTAGTAGAACAATCCTGTATGATATATTTCCTGCCTTAGCTTTCATTTGCATCCACCTAATTACTACATTTGGCCAACCAAATCGTCAAATGTTTGATTAGAATTTCCCAAAAATATCTTATAATAAGTAGACAGGATTACATGCGCCCAACGTTCTCGGTTAGGGCTCCTTTTTGCAGTTTTGTGAAGAATGCTTTCGGTTCGGATGAATTCGTTTTTTCGTTTTTAAGCAAGCTCTTATGCTAACAATAAATCACATATATGAGTTGTGTTCACCCTATTCTGTTTAAGCTGCTGAATGACTAGTGGTAGAATTTTCCCACAGTTTCCATTTAATTTCGCATAGCTTTGCCTCTCAAAACGTGTTCTCATCCAGGATGGACTGCAGTTTCGACCTCGGACAGGTTATATCAACACTCCAGCAGGAGTCGAACCCGTTGCCAAC